TTTATTCAGTTAAAAAAAAAAACATTCAAAGGTTCTTAGTTCATGAAACTAGAAAACAACAGGTTTTCAAAATTTGAAACTGAAGCTGTGTTCAAAGTTCTATTAATACCATTCTGGCCAGCTCTGAGCTCTTTCTTATTCTATATAAGTATCTCTGAAAAGCAGCTCCCTCTAAATGCATTCTTAAAAACACTATGTGTATATGCTAGTTTTTCAAAATGGACAAAATATTTGTAGGAATTTGGAATATATCTAAAAAATAGAAGTCTATAGAATGAGTCTGAATGTCATTGCATAATTTACATTAAACAAGCATGAATATATATTTTTAGTCATGCCTTATGCATCTGTGTTTTGGTCACTATTGCTTTAATATTTCCCTCTTTGGCTAGTCAAATCATTTACAAGTTCAGATGCTTTCTTAGAAATGAACTTTATTTAATACTGTCTATATTTTCACAGGAAAAGATTCCTTTCTAATGCCCTAAGCCAGTGACTTCTTAAAGAGAGGCAGCCTGCAACATGCATGCAGCATACTGCAAGATCAAGGCCCAGACTCCAGGTCAAATATCAAATGAGAATGGACTTCTTAATTAACTAAAAGGAGTTACCAAGATGCTTGAAATATTTTCAAAAACTACCTGTGCATTTTGCTGGAAGGAACAGGGCCACACAACCCAAACACCAGAGGTATTTCCCCTGTAAATTTTTTATATACAAATTCAAAATAAAAATAAAAACAACAACGCCACTTTAAAAGTATTTTATCTGGAAAGGCTGTTGATTTGTGTTTATAAGTCTAATTAACCTCAGATATTCTTTGATGATTGTTTTTTTGCACCATCCCCATTTTCAACTGGTTCAAAAGTCTTGGAATTTAAATATTATTATAAAAGCTGTTAATTTTTAAAATTGGAATCCTCTTATTTAATTTAACTTGCTATGCTAATTCATTTGAGAGTTTAAGATCAATGTGTAATTCAAAACAGTACTTCACTGATTGTATATTTATCTTAAATATAATTAGCAGAATTATTTTCTCATAAAATCTAAGGTTACATATGCCCTAAATATGAGAGACTTGGAAATTATTTACAGTTTTCAATAATTCAAAATCTAAACCAATTCATTTTATGAAATCTAAGCTCTATAAGGTCAATTAATTTGCTACATAAGTGTAAAAAAATAAATCAAATTACAAACATTTTAACAGCAGTTCAAGTTTTAAGAGATTATCAGTGCATTTTGGAAATTTCCAAGAAATCATATTCTGTAATTTCTAAACACCTACACTTTACCGTTGCTTTGCAGAAAACAGCTTTTAAGTTCCCCAATTCATAAATGTAATTAAATAATTACATTAGTGCTAATTAACATGAAACTGCAGATTATTTAAGCGCAAAAAACACTATTCAACTTCTTAATTATTCTTGTTCACACAGCATTTCCTTTTGCTCAGGCGCCCTAGGTGCAAATAAAGCATCCCATCTGCTCGTAATTAGAACTAAATAATTTCAGAGAATGTAGCTTATCATTTTGACTGCACATTTGATTAAAAACAGTGTACAAGCAATATCCCAGCTTATTGCTGTAACAGCAACAACACACACAGGCCCATGTTCTCCTATCATTAAAGAAGACTGAAAGCATTATCTGTTATTTCAGGGGGAAAAATACAACTTTTTAGTTCATTTCATACAGATGAAAGCGAATTACAGCAAATCACCTCTCCACTGAATAGCAGCCCCCACATAATGACTTTATTTGCTTAATCCCCAAATTAAACGCCGTTTCAAGCGAGGGCCCTGTGTTATTACTCTCATCATGTCGAGAACATTTTCCTGCCGAGACCAATTTGAATAAAACAAGGGGCCTTCCTTGAACTCAATCAAGGAGTCATAATGTGGTGGGTAATAGAGGTTGCTGATAGATTTGCAGGCAAAAGTGTTATACCTAATGATGGGATATGGATAATAGTCCTCCTGGAGGTCCTGATGCGATTCCAGTTGGCTGCCAGATGCTAAAAATCAAGAAGAGCATTGATCAGTGACAGGAAGCTGTAGTGGATTCATCGAGTCAAACTTCAGCTGTTTTTCCACTGTACAGTTAAGCCAGGCATAAATTATATTAATTGATTTAATTACATACTTAAAACATCTTCCCCAATTAATTTAATTAGGTGGCTACATGAAGCTACTGGCAGGGGAAGATTAGAGGCTGCTCACTTAATTAACAGAATATGAATGAAAAAAAAGGGGAAAGCAAACATAAATGAAATTGTGAGCACTAATTAAAAGGCTGTCTCCAAACTTAAATACTTTCTGACAAAGTGGTGACAGCAATGTAGACAAGGGAGGGATTTTTTTCCAGCAAATTAAGTGCCACAAGGTATATATAGGGAGCTAAGGTAATGCAGTTAAAACATTGATTTTCTGACAGAACTACCAAAGTCAACATGAAGGGACATTCTCCATAGAAAAATTACAACAGATTTTGCAGCCACAAAGACTGAATCACTGATGAAGGATGAAATATGATGCTCGGACAAGTGTATGGTTAAAGGGAAAAAAAATGGAAACAGCTTATTGCAATCAGTCAAGCAAGAGATGTTTAGAAAAGAAGTGCTGCCGTAACAGCTGGCAGCACCGCACACCTTGGCCCTGATGTAAAAATTCTCCAGGTGTCTCCGACGTGATTCCTTCAGGGTCTTTTTTACACGTGCCATGCGAGAATGCAAGAGCCAAGAAATGGCAATCACACCTGATGCCCGCTGCTGCTGCCTGAAATGGATGTAGGCTTTTCTGGCCTGATAGCGCCTCCACATTGCCTGGATCTTTGTGGCAGCCATTTCAGTACCATCTTGCCCTTTGTATCGCCGGCCAGGTTGATTTAAGAGTCTTTTCACAGTGGATCGGTTCTTTATCATGGACAGAATGTCATCTCTGCTTGGCCTCCAGTCAAGTTCAAAATCTGATACAAGCTCCACCAAATTTCTGCTTTTTATTATAGCTAATGGTATGGCGTAGTCCTTGAGCACCTTCTCAACATGTTCCAAGAGAGAGAGAATACTTCCCCAGGACAAACAGTAGTACTGCTTAAATGCCAGGAAGGCTGGAGCCTCATGGTCTATAGCACCATTGTGAATAGCTATGTCGTAATCCAAAACTGAATTCTGGAAGGACTCAAATGGCATCATTTGTGAGGTCTGTGGAAAGAGACCACAACCACAGATTAAAAAATAATTGCAGTTGCTGACAAATAAGTGGCCAATGTACATTCTCATAGTATCATTTACCACGCAGCTATGGGAAGTTATGGATCTAGAAATGTATTCCTTGTATTGATTTAACATATACATGTCATAACCACAAAGACTGGCCCATATATATCATAAAACCCATTACCAGAAATGTACCCCAGGGGTCATTCAAGACTATTAACATTTTTATAGAAAATATATTAATTGCTCAAGGGATCTACGCTTGATCTTTTTATATAAAAGTTCTGTGGACACTGATACGGTCAGCTGGTCCCACGATAAGTATGATTTACCACGCAAAGATTTTACAACTACAGCAACATTGCCTTCTCATTCATATGATCATGAATGAAAGGGTAACCTCCTTCTCTACAAACACACCCTGATCTTCCACCCATGGCTACCTGCAAAGGCCATCTCTTCTGACACCCACCAGAACTTCTGCCTCCATTGGAGAGGTTGGCCTGCAGCTCAGCAACTCTGGTTTTCATTTGACTTCCCTATTTTCAAGTATTTTTGCATATTTTTTTTATTTAAATTGTTATTATCTAATTCCCATCCTAGCTTCCATTTCCAGGGTTGCTTTATTTTTCATCTTCAGTTCTCCTCTGGGCTACGGCATGGATCAGCACTCTAATGGCTCAGATGTCTGCAAAGGTCAAGCAAAACTCCAGAACTGTTTGGTATGCAACACTGCAATTCCGTTGCACATAAAGGGAGAGAGATGCCCCTTACGCATAGAGGCTAAGGACAACCATCAAGCCTCAAATAATCAATCAGCCAGGGTCACGCTCCTTTCCCGTTCCCTGTTATAGTGAAACGAGACATTCTGTTTGCCTATATGAACGATGCAAGAATTAGGGGAGAGACGGCAGTTTCAAAAGTGAAACTGCTATCAGAGGAGAGCTGTCTATTAACTTCAACAGACTTTGGATCAGGCCTTCATGTCCTGATTCAAAGATACAGATCACATCCTAAAGCAGATTTGCTGAAGATGGTGCTGAAGATTCACATGATAAGATCTTGTGGCTGTCACTGCCTACATACCTTTGGCTGAGGTGAGATGCAAAGTGCCACCTCTTGCCCTGGAGTCGGCTGTGTCCACACTCGCTTTGATCTCCTAGCTGAGTCCACGGAGATGTTAGACGGGGGTGGCGCAATGTTACCCTTGTTGGAGAAGCACGTGCCATTGACAGTTGTCTTTGGGTCTGGATAAGTGAAGATGTCTCTGACAGCATCTGCCTTCCTACTCATCTTCCCTGTACCAATGCAAAAAGGCAGCACAAGGTTTCATTGCTGAAAGGAAATACCGTACAACTATAGCAAAGTGCAATGTTACCACAGTACATCCCATTAAATAACATAAAAAAGATCTCACACTGCTTTGATGCTCCACTAGGTGGCTATTTGCAAGAAATGTCAATAAAATATGGTTCTGGCATAAACAGCATAGCTTTGGGAAGAATACTAGTAAGTCTGAGCGTGCCAAAAGAATTAAGCACAGATTTGTCGCCATAGAGATTGGGACCAGGTTATAGGAAACCATAATACACTTTTAAAAGATAGTTTTCAAAAGGCAGTGCATCAGCCAGCAGTACATCCCATTTCCATAACAATCACAGAATCGTAGAAAATCTGTGTTGGAAGGGACCTCAGGAGCTCATCTAGTCCATCCCCATGCACTAAGCAGGACCACCTCCAACTAGATGAAGTCCTAAGCAATGTGTATATACTGCATCACTTGTAAAATGCTTATTGGCTTCTACTTTGTTTGACTGCACCCCAATGCTACTGCCATAACTCGTGGCCCTTTGTTTTATTTTTGGCCAGTTCCGTCCATTATGAGATGTTTCAAATTCTAAGGAACTGATTAGAAAATTCCAGTCCCCAGGTTACTGCTCACAGCTTTCCTATACAGACTTACATAGCAAAGGGCAAAGATATTTGCTTGGGGCCTGTATTCTGCTGTTCAGGCCTGCTGTATTTGGTAGTCCTTCTCCACCAGTCAGACTAAAATTTCCTCTAGCTGGACACAGCTCCTTCTGGCATCATACACTCCAGATAAGCAGAAGTCAGTTGAGTGTTGACGGTTACCCATTACTAATACTGAGGGCCAGACTTTGAAAGGGGTTCAAAATTTGGTATCTGACTGACAGTCACAACCAATACTCTGTGCTTACCTGAAACAGGCTTCTTGTGACGTTTGTGAAATTCATGGAGAGGAGCGACTTTGGGTAAAACTGGAGGCGACTCAAGTGTAATCTTTGCTGCTGGTGGGATTAGCCTGCGCTCGATTAGGTTCAGAATACCTATAAAACAAACACATTGCTGAATGATGTGTCTGGTTTCTTGGGGGTAGAGCCCCAAGGGAACTATGTGATGCATCACCCAGTCCTAGGCGTGTGGCACCCAGAGTCTCATGTAATCTACAGCCCTTAATTAGGCATCTCGGTTCGATAGGCAAGGCATGAGAACAGGATTCACAAGAGTGGTCATACTCTACCAGGAAACACGGAAGAGACAGCTGCTCCTGGAGGAAGTGACCTCTGCCCTCTTGGGACTCCCCCTGAACCAGCACACCAGCCAGGTGTCGGGCACCTAAGCAACCTCTTTAAGAGCTGGGCAGGGGCAAGTCCTTCATTTGACAGTGTTACTACAGGTTTCTCTTGCTTTATGCAGTACAAGCATTCCTGGAAAATGGTGCATAACTCAAATTTGCATAAAGGGAATCCACTTTACAGGGTAACAAATAGGGATATGTTCCAAGACCTCGACTGTACTGACATGGCATGACACCACTCCTGGGGCAGCTGCAGCTTCAGATGCACGGGCACCACCTGCCCTGAGTGGCGGCAGCAGGCGCTGCTGCCAGGCGGCTTCATGGCTCACAGCTCTCGGGGTGCCCTGCGAACCTGGCACCTGCACCTAGCTCAGACCTCACAAAAAATATTTTCTTCCTCCGCCTATGGTGTCACTCCCACAATGCACCACACAAAGCAGGTGACTGTGGGCTTCCACCACACTGATCGCATAAGAGTGAATTTACCATGCATATAACACATTTTTGGTTTAAAAAAAAGGGTCATTGCATAAAAGCGAATTCACACATACAGAACACAGATAAAGCAAGGGAAACCTGTATCACCATTGCTTCCTTGTGGCTTGAGCACTCAGGCTGTGGGAGACCCTGGTGCAATTTCTTCCTTTGCCGGAGGAGGTTCAAACTGCTAGGACAGTGTCCTACCCACTACACGATGGGCTACTCTGGATGGAGGAACGCCCCCATCCTTGTGTTGAAGCTGGCATGCTAAAATTACAGAAGCAGTGAGATAAGCATGACTGGCCTAGGGGCTAGGGCATTCAGCAGAGTGCTGGCTCATATGCAGGGGCAGATTAGTTTAAAATACATACAGCTGCCTCATAGCACAGAGTGTCACCCAGGTCACGCCATCCCAGTTACAGTTATGCACCCCATCCCAGTTACGCACACTCCCCCTCCCACTGCCTATCCCAGTCACTGAATCTTCTGCAATGGGACAGCTTCAACAGGAGTATTCAGTGAGCACCCTGCGCTTAACCTTGCCACTGATCCCTGTCCCCAAGGGCAAGGGAGAGGGACAAGGCAAGGGTAAAGGCAGGCACGAGACAGCAGCATGGAGGGCTATGGAGGAGGGGGTGCTACAGAGGGGATGGGTGGCATGGTGCAGCTATGTGCCTGATTCCTTAGGCCCCCCTGGGATGGACTGGACTTTCGCAGGACAGATTCAACCTCTTTGCAGGATGGATCCAGCCTGCAGGCTGTAGGTTGACTCTGTATCATGCATCATACAGCCTAGTGGTGAGTACTTCTGCATTTTTTGGTAGTCTTCTGCCACAGCATATAGTCATAGAAATGAATATATATAAAGAAATTATATATAATATATATAAAGAAATGAAACACACCAAGTCAAATCTTTCCAATGTTTTAAATGTAACACTTACAATGTAACATCATCTTCTTGGGGAAGAAATGTTGTTTCATCCCCAAACAAAACTGGAACTAGATAAGTGGTGCTTTTTGTGATAAATCAGTGGTTTTCAACCTGTTGTCCGCAGATGCCTGAGGGCCCGCAGACTGTCTAACGGGCCTGCAAAAGATGCTTATAAATCAATCAAAAGTTTGTAAACACCCACACTTACAATTCAAAGGGGTCTGCACCTCCACTAAAAGAAGTATTTTTAGGGGTCTGCAAATGAAAAAAGGTTGAAAGCCACTGTGATAAAGCCAACGGAGACAAACTCTGTTTGCCTACAGGTTGTGACACAGAAATTAAATATACTGTATTTGTGCTGTACTATAGCGAAGAACTGTGTTTGTGGAATGTCAGTTTGAAACACTTGTGTCAGAGCTGCTTCAAATTTGCTCTCAATCCCACCATAATTATGGGTACAGAATCATTGCAAATAATTCAATGTGTTGCTGAAACAATCCAAAGGTTGTTCCAGTTACTGTCCCAAGGTCAAATTCAGGCTCTCATTTTCTTGAGAAAACTCATGGCCACTCAATGTGACCACAAAGAAGGCCTCCCTCCCTCACAAACAGATTTCTGCTCCCAGCAACAACTGGACCCTCTGTAAGATGTGTACCAGTCTCAGTCCACAGAGAATATTCTATCTCACTATATAGTCTGGCCATATTGCTTTCTCTACTCGCTGAAGCTCCACTTTCAGACAGAAGCAGAGTATAAATTGTTGGCTTTTTGGGAAGTCTGGAGTAGGGCACAGAGGGCTGATCCAATGACCTTCCACTGGTAAATCCCTTTCCCATGCATCCACATGCAGCCTGGATTAGGCCATAATCTCTTCAACCTTTGAGGATGATTATACTTGTATTTAGCTCTGTCAGGCCACTTACTAAAAAAAATTCTGCAGCGCATTACAAACATTAGATAACTTCCACATTAGTAAGCCTATCTGTAAAATGGGCGATCTGAGGCTCAGAGACATTAAGGACAAGATCCTCTTCCAAGTAATAGGTGTTTAAATGCCTTCTCACTCCATCCTGCTTGAGTCTCTGAAAAACCATTACAGCACTTGATGGATGGGTCCTCATCTTTTTTGCTACACTCTTAAGGCTGACATGAAAGCTTGTTGCAAAAGTAGATGCAAGAACAGCTTTTCAGGGGTGCAAGTAGGGTGGAATAAAACTATACTTCAATGCCAAAAGTGCCACTTAGATGTCTAATAGAATGAAGGGGATCTGGCCCTAAGTGGCCTGTACAAGACAGATCTCAAGATGCTTGACCCCTGCTCTACACAGCAAACAACACTACCTCTGCAGAGCTCATCCTAAGGACTTCACCATCCGAGGGACTCACCTCTCTTTGCATCTCTCTCACCCACGGGTAAGGGAGCATCCATTTGGTGAGACGCAGGCAAAACCCAAAGGTTACTGACTGTAGGCCCCTTCACTATCTTCTGAGCGCACACCTAAGAACAGAGCAAGTCCTCCATTAGCAAACAACATTCCACGCACCGCAGTTTGCTACTCATATAAAACTAAATAATAAATACAATTTCTGCTATGAATAGTTTCATTAAGGTTTAATAATGTAACAGTACGGGCACTAGTTTTACTACTTATGAACATGCCGCACTATTGTCTACTGTCATTAGTTTATGTAATTTAAAATAAAGTTAATTAAATCCAATCAATGTCTTGCGATTTCTGCTATGCAAAATCAGTGTTCTAGTTAATAAAAGGAATTGCAAGGACTTTGCTCAATTTTAATGACTACATTGTAAACAAAGTATCTCTTGACAGACCAGGCTTTGAATACAGGAAACTTTAATACAAGCAATGTACAGGGGGAAAAAGGGAAGCAGGAATTAGAAAATATATGCATGGATCCTCAGGAGATCCACTGGGCATAAGGTTAGGGAATTTGACATCTGTAGTATCAGTGAATGAGAAATACTAAAGGATTCTAAAGTCTGAGAGCACCTTACAAACCTGCATCTATTAACTGCCAGGAGTAAAGACAAGGTGGCATATACAAATAAATATCATACGGCAAGGATTTTAGATCTATTAGCATCCCACTTTGGAGAACAGCATAGGGGGAAGAGATCCTGTTTCAACTCGCTTTCTTATTGTGAAGACTAGACTGGAAACTACTGACTGTTATCAAGTTAGTTTTTTAATACTAGGATGTCAGCTGGAAGTAGACTTTGGGCTGCAACCAGACATTGAAAGAGAAGCTGAGCTCCTGACAAGTGGGGACCAAGTAGAGAGAGACAAACATTGCATGGACATTTTAAAACAAAGGCAAAAATATTTATAAAAATGACTACCCAATATTTGGAATTGGAGGAGAAAACAGGATTGCCAACTGCAGTCGTTAAAAAGTCACGAAATCGAGCCTGCCATCAAAATCACAAGACTCACAAGTCATAAGAGATGGCAACAACACGGAAGTTTTGTGTAACCTTTGATGAACCAGTGAAGTACAGAAGGCCTCGTATGTATGTCTAAGTGTAACCAGGCACAGAGGGAAACATGAACACACAAACATTACAGCAATTACAACTAGAGCCAAGAGTCACAGAGTTCTTGGGTCTCTGAGCATGCATTAACCATCTATTTCCCTATTCTCAAGTTGCAGCAACAAAGGTTTAGGTTGGATATTAGGAAAAACTTTCCCACTAGGAGGGTAGTGAAGCACTGGAACGGGTTACTTAGAGAGGTGGCAGACTCTCCATCCCTGGAGGTTTTCAAGGCCCAACTCAACAAAGCCTTGGCTGGGATGATCTAGCTGGGAATGGTCCTGCTTTGAGTGGGGGGTTGGACTAGATCAGTGGTTCTCAACCTTTTTTGTGCCAGGACTCATTTGTAAACAATGATGGCCAGTCCTGACCCAGTAAATAATTTAAATAGAAAACAGCCTGCTGGCTCCGCTGGTGGCCCTCACTCCGAGCTGCTGCTCCACAACCCCAGGCCCTAGCCCCCCAGTGTGTGGGTCATGGGGGGCCCAAGCAGCCCATTGCAGGCTGGAACTCTGCCAGCCCGCAGGGAAAGCCCACGGTTTCCCCACATTTTCCCCCTTTAAAGAAGAATCAATTTTAAAAGATTGTTTGTGACCCTTTCATATATTCTTGCAACCCACTTCTGGGTTGCGACCCCGGGGTTGAGAAGCACTGGATGAGATGACCTCCCGAGGTCCCTTCCAACCCGAATTTCCTATGATTCTCTTTGGAAGAACACTGGACATACTCCTGTCTCCTCTCCATTTGCCTGTGATATGTTTTAGATCCTGTTCTTTGTAGTCATGTATAAGGTTGAGCAGTGGAGATTTATGGGGATCCCTTTGGTTAGCAACTGCCTGGAGATGCAGGAGACTGGATTTGATAGCTGAGGAGTCCTCCGCCAGTCCTATGTTTGTACATGCCTACAAATTTCTATCTTAGAATATTGTGCTATTTAATACTTACGGTCCTATGCTACTATACTCAGGGACGCTACACAATATTATTTAATATTCCGCTCCCTTTCAGCGCAGATGTGGCTCCAAAGGACAGCTTGCAAAATTTGGGGCAAGGACTTAGAATAGAAAGTTCTGAGTGACCGGTCAGTCGTGTAAACACAGAATTGCGTGTGAATGCAGTAATTCTAGTTGAGCTCCTGAAAAGCTTCCCTGACTTTTCTAAACCCCAGTTTGTTCAAAACCCCACGTTTCTTGTTCCACTTAGGTAAATGGGCTCTGCATTTGGAACCATGGGCGGATCTAGCATCTTGAAAAGAAGGGGTGCAGATGGCATGGTGCACCGTCATATATAACACAACACATGTTTTTATCCAGCTAAAAAGGAATGAGAAGCTTTACTAATATGCTAGGGGTCTAGGGCCATGTTATTCAGTTTAAGATTGAAGCAAAAACAAATATAATTTTAATGGAATGTGCACTAATGTGCTACATCATATCTTAGTATTAAAAAAACCACAAAAAACTAGGCAAAATAAATCAAAAAATGTTGCTTCTTTAGTTCTGTTGTTAGTAGAATTAAATCTACATCTTTTTTCAGATTCATAAAACAACATCTAGCCTTCGTGAGCATACCGACAGTGCAATGCTTTGTTGAAAGTTATTTCCACACCTGAGCTGACATTCACCTGAGTTAATATTTTAAGCTGAAGTTAAAAACAGCATTCAGGGCTGTGGAAACAGGAGGTACATAATCAGGGGCAGCTAACAGACAGCAGAATTTCAGAAGAAAGGCTAGTTTTAGTAGTGGACCATCAAGCCCATTAAAAAAGGATAGAGGGTCATTAACAGCTGTGGAAGGAAGACATCAGAAGGAATCAAGTAGGTGATAATAAGCCATGAAGTCTATTGACTCTCTCCCTGGTGCCACGGCCAGGCAGTTGGTTTTAAACTTTGGGTGGAGCAGAAATCAAAGCGAGTAGGGCAGTGGTCACCAACCACTGGATACGGTCCACCGGTAGATCTCAGAGCCTCTTGGAGTCAATCCGAGTCTGGGGTGGAGAACATAAATTACTCTGCTGTTTCTTATTGGATGTTATGTCTGCCTTTTTTTAGCTAACAATTGCCTTTTACTTTACAGGTATTTAATTTTACCTGCCTGCTTCTTGCTTTATTCCTCAATTTCTTCCTCCTCTAGAAACAAATCTAGCCATCCCTTGAAGTCACGCTGCCTGGCTCCGTTGCTTTCCTTTGTACCTTAGTCTACGCTTGTTGAAACACACACGGTGCACATTGCTGCCCATCATGTCACAGGGGGGCTGAGTGTCCGTGCGCATGCATGCACGTGTCCCAGCCCAGCAGGTCAGTGCACGGCGGAGGGAAGAGGCAGGGGCTAGATTGAGGCCGCCAGGATGAGGGACAGTGCTGCAGAGGCAGGAACAGGGGTAAGTTGAGTGGGGCTAGTGGCTGGGTGGGACTTATCTACTGGGGAGGCACACCCCCAAATAATTTTTATTCCCTCTGCCTCAATTTGCGTTCTTCGCTCCATCCCCACAGACTTACCTGCTGGGCGGGGGGGGGTGGCGGCGGCGGTGCACAGTTGATCTTGGGTTGCTTTTCAATGTCAAAGGTGATCTCCTACTTAAAAAGGTTGGAGACCAGTGGGGTAGGGGGTGACTGCAACCCCCTGGATCTGCCCTTGTTCAGTACATATTAAAAAAATACAACCCAAAAACCCTCCTAGGTTTAAATCATTTTAGCCCAATTGACTTCAGTGGGGCTCTCCATGGGAGTCTGACCCAGCTACTGTCTGGCCTCAGGTTACTGAGCACCAGAGTAGCAGAAAATAGCATTGTTTCCTCTTGCCTGACTTATTCTGGGACCAGGCAGGCAAAGGGGAACCTAGGAAGTTGAGAAAAATACAGTGTAATGTTCCAAAGTACAAGGCAAATCTGATATTTTGAGGCATGCAGCACAAGTTGGCTAGATTTCCTGAAAGCTTTAGATAAGGCACCTCTGACGGCTTGCTATGGAAGCTGGAAGTACCTGGATTCAATTAAAATGCAGGCATAGATTAAGCCAAGAAAACGGAACAGAACTGTGTCAAAAACAACAGGTCTCCCTTGAACTCCATCTATTTGTGGTCTAGACACATCTCAGAGGCAATGGATCCAAAACACTGCCTGGTTAAGTTTACTGGTGCCATAATGCAGAGAGGAGGAGGAGAAGAAAATCCTAACCATATAAAGCAGCTCTGCTCAGCTGCCTGAGGATGGGCAAAATCAGGATGGTGGGCTGGTGACCCAGTGGTTACCAATATGCAGCTTTACTGTAAAGCAAGTGATGAGTATACACCATAGGTCCATTTTTGAGGATGCAGGGGTCCAGGCACCCAACCATCCATGTGTAGCTGCCCAGAATTTCCCAGTTTTAGTCCTTGCTTTCAGTTGCTTATAAATCGAAACTAACCATTTAAGCTAAACTCTTCCATGCTGGGTCTGGCCCAGGTGGAATTTTTTGGAGAGTTTCAGGCAAAACAATTCTAGTGTTTCTGAGAAAGTTTTAAAAATTCTGTCAACTTTTTCATTGAAAAGACAAGGATGAGGAAGAGCCTAAAAGGTGGTCAAGTTTTGGGTGAACAAGCAGAAGAGCCTGAACCCACTATAATCACACACCCTTCCGGAGCATTGCAATGGAGCCCAAGATTGTCAGAAAACACTAATCAAATCCACCAATAAAGTGTCCTATTCCATCTTGAATGTTCATCGGCAGCGAGGGAAAGTCAATACTATTACCAGTTACTCTATTAGCTGAAGTAGCAGAAGTCCGAGCAATAGACATCCAGGCTGTAAACCCTACCGATGAACCATATGGGCATCAATATGATGGAGCTCCTGATTTTTCAGACTGCTATTTTTTAAAGCCCTATGAAATTAGACACTGTATGCTACATTAAAAGAATAAGTTTGCCAAGTCAAACACTTAAATATTAAGAAATGCCAGAAGGTT